CTTCTTCAAATTTAAATTTTTTGGGATGCGCGTGTTCCAGTTCCCCTGGTCTCTGCTGGCAATGCCTTCGATCTGTTTATTGCATACCTCCAGATAGAATTAGCAGTGTAGTTATGAATTGAACCGCGTGGCATCGTGAAGGGTTGGCTGAAAAAATCTAGTGTTCAACTTTGTCCCTGTATTTTCATGTACCCCTTGGAGGACCTTTTGTCGCCTTTAATCTCATTTTAGCATTCGTATTGGCGCTACAAAATTTCTCTTCGACACATAACACAAAAAAGCGGATAGTCAGCCCTCGCTATTATGGAAGACTCTCAGTAGGAATACTGACTTTAAGGTGCTTTCAAACTGAGGGAAAGTTCATAACCGTAGACCGCAGAGTAAATCACTCCAAGATGACAGTCCCCAACCTAATATTATTTCATAGGTTTTTTTAGAGTCGGTCTGTTCACTCGCAGTCTTCAAAAATGGCACTTTTAGCTTCTGTTTGACCTTTTTTTCAATTAGCTGCAAGAGGTTTGCTCAGAGTCGTCTCGCATTCTAGTCTCCACTGTTTAGGGAGATGATAAAAGTCGTCTCTACACAAAGCGACAAATCGCCTTTTTCACGGCTGAGTGAATTTGCAGAAGTAATGATATTCCAGCCGTTAATTTGTACTTAAGGAACGTCAGTAGTCATTTTTATGTTTTGTGAGAGAACTTGACAGCACGCCCTCTATATTCCCGTCTTTATCTTCTTTATTGTATGCAAAGATAGTGCGCCTTACCGCGAAAAATAGCAGATATTTGCTATTATGTCCGTAAATAACTGCACTTAGAAACCTCCGGTTTATGTCTGTAACTGAAGGGACCATTTTATCACGCAATAATTTCGGTGTCGCATTTTACTTTGGCGTTCATAGAGTTTTCGATTTTTGTCTATAGCAGGCCAAATCAGGCCCAATACTCAACTTCTTCTGTAACTGTCGTTATAGCCTTTGAATAATACCTTCTGTAATCTACTCCTGTTTAATATTTTCTTCGCATCATCTTGGTTCTACTAACAGTGTCC